CTTAACAGACGACCATAGAAGGGAAGGAAAAATAAGATACAAACAGAAAAGGAAGCAAACCGTAAGAGACTCTTAAATACAATGAACAAAATGAGGGCTGGTGGGGTGGGAAAATGGGTGATGGGCATTGAGGAGGGCACTTGCTGGGATGAGCACTAGGTGCTGTATGTTAGTGATGAATCACAGGAATCTGTTCCTGAAGCCAAGACTACACTGTATGTTAGGTAACTTCACAATAAATAAAAATAAATAAAATAAAATATTAAAAAATAATAAAAAAATAACCACTATAGTTATGGTAAAAAAATAAAAGATGCCTCCAAAGAAGGCATACAGATGGCCAACAGGCTCATGAAAAGATGTTCATCATCACTTATCATCAGAGAAATGCAAATCAAAACTACAAGGAGATATCACCTCATACCTGTCAGAATGGCTAACATCAACAACACAAAAAACAAGGGCTGGTGAGGATGTGGAGAAAAAGCAACCCTCCTGCCCTTTGGTGGGAATGCAAACTGGTGCAGACACTCTGGGAAACAGTATGGAGGTTCCTCAAAAAGTTAAAAAAATAACTATCCTAAGATCCATCAATTGTACTATTTACCCAAGAAATACAAAAACACTAAATCAAAAGGATACATGCACCCCTATGTTTATAACAGGATTATTTCAAACAGGCCAGATTGGAAGCAGCCCACATGTCCACTGACTGATAAAAGGATAAAGATTTTATTATTATACACACACACACACACACACACACACACACCCCTCAACATCAAAACCCCAAATAATCCCATTAAAAATGGTCAGAGGACCTCATTCAACATTTTTCCAAAAAAGGCATACAGATGTCCAACAAACATATGGAAAGATGCTCAACATCACTAATCATTAGGAAAATGCAAACTAAAACCACAATGAGATAGCACCTTACACCCATCAGAATGCCTAAAATCAAAAAGACAAGAAATAACAAGGGTTAACAAGAATGTAGAGAAAAATGAACACTTGTACACTGTTGGTGAAAATGTAAATGGGTGCAGCCACTGTGGAAAATAGTATGGAGGTTCCTCAAAAAACTTAAAATAGAAATACCATATTATCCAGTAATTCTACTACTGGGTAATTATTTAGGGAAAATGAAAATACTAATTGAAGAGGATATACGCATCCCTATGTTTATTGCAACATTATTTGCATACCCAAAATATAGAAAAAATCCAAGTGCCAATCAGTAGAGGAATGGATACACAAGATGTGGTATGTATATATACATACACACACACACACACACTGGAAGATCACTCAGCCACAAAAAGGAATCAGATCTTACCATTGGTGACATCATGAATGGACGTAAAGGGTATTATGCTAAGTGAAATAAGACAGTGGAAGACAAATAACACATGATTTCACTTATATGTGGAATCAAAAACAAAACAAACAAAAAATAAAAACATACCCCTAAATACAGAAGTCAAGCTAATAGGAGGAAGTAATCAAAATGGGTGAAGCAGAGTGGGAAGTACAGGCTTCCAGTTACAGAATGAATAAATCACAGGAATGAAAGGTACAGCATAGGGAATATAGTCAATGGTTTTATAATTGTGTTGTATGGTGACAGATGCTACAGTTGTGAATATAAAGTAGTTGAATGACTATGTTGAATTGCTGATATTAACATAACATTGTGTGTCAACTATATACTTCAATTAAAAATATTCTTTTGAAAAAAAAAAGTTCTGCAGGTAATACTGATACTACCCTTATCTCAACTATTAGCCCAAGAATTCTAAATTAAATTTCTGGTAATTATTCAAACTAAGGTCTATTGCCTAAGAGAAAATAGTTGATTGGCTTAGCATAGCAAATTCAGGGTTTTTTTTTTTTTTAATGTTTATTTATTTTGAGAGAGACAGAGAGAGAGAGAACAGGGGGAGGGGCAGAGAAATGGAGAGAGAGAATCCCAAGCAGGCTCCTCACTTTCAGCTAAGAGCCCAATGGGGAGCTCAAACTCTCAAACCATGAAATCATGACCTGAGTCAAGATCAAGAGTCAGATGCTTAACCAACTGAGTCACCCAGGTGCCCCACAGCAAATTAAGTTTTAAATTGAAAGTAAGCATCAAAATTAGAGATAAATGACCAAAAAAGATAAATTACCAAAAAGTAAATCATAGGGATTTGATCAAAAAAGAATATTCCAGGATATATACTAAGAGTCAGAACAGATATATCTCAATAACTATCACCAACAACAGGACAAAGTAATGGACTGATGATCTTAAACCAAAAAATCATAGTGGTTTAGGGAAGCCTGGGTGATACAGTCTGTTGAGCGTCTAACTCTAGATTTCAGCTCAGGTCATGATCCCGTGGTTGTGGGGTTGAGCCCCAAGTCAGGCTCTGCACTGAGCTTGGAGCCTGCTTGGAATTCAATCAATATTTGGTTTCTTAATTAGCTAAATGAATGAAAACACCATATGGTCTTTATTCCCAGGAGCTCACAATGTAGTTGAAAGATGAAATGAATATTAAAAAAACTTAATTATTAGATAATTTGAATATAGTTGACCCTCAAACAATGCAGGGGATTAGGAACACTGACCACCTGCACAGTCTTAAATCCACATATTGTGATGCCCAAAAACTTAATCATTAATAGCCTACTGTTGACTAGAAACCTTCCCAACAACATAAACATTGAGTGAAAACATTTGTGAGCTATATGTATTATATTCCGTATTCTCACAATAAAGCTAGAGAAAATGTTAATAAAATCACAAAATACATTTACAGTACTATAAGATATCCATATATAAGTGGACCCACATAGCTCAAACTCATGTTGCTCAAAGGTCAACTGTATATTTGCCAAGTTGTTAAGAATTCACTGAAGTTCTTGAATGGCTGCACATAAAAAACACCTGCCAACTGATTTGAGCAACAGGATGCATGCATTAAATTGCAAACTCTACCAGGTCAGAGGGAGTAGGAGAATTCGCCTGGAATGGAACATTAAAGGCTTATTTTACCTATTTCAAGATCTCTTCCCGTATTCTACTAGTTTGTTATGACCTGGGTGAGGGGGGTGTAACAGTTAAAAAGGTTTTATTTCTTGAAGTACAAATACACACACTTAAAGGTTAAACCTATCTGTAGCTTTAATGTCATTAAGTCAGTGAAATGTATTGCTTTCTTCCTAATCACCAGTCAAATCACCCTCACTGATGATTTCAGAAGATGTGATATCCAGAGAAAGAAAGTCAAACCTATGTGGGATGTTATAAAGAAGAAATGCAGGTAGCTAAAGGCCTGCAGGTGAGGCAGCATTAGAAAAATGGCCTACTCCTCTCCATAACCTCTCCTACCTTAAAAGCATCAGCTACAACACTGGAAACCATCCAGACTGCTCCATTTCTTTTATGCACCTGGAACTGTTAATGCCTGATAAAATCCAAGTACTACCATGCTAGCATTTAGTAAACAATTTGATTAGTGACACTCATTTTACTCACACTAATTAACTTTCCTACTTCCTAATTAACTTCTTTAAAGATTATGTTGAAGATAAATTTAAAATAATTTTCTTAAGGAATCAGGAAGCTTGACATAGAAATTAGATCTGACTTTATTACTTTTTATTTTTTATTTTTATTACTTTTATCATATTGCATTTATTTAGTACATCCTATTCACACCTTTGCACTGACTTGCAATATAAAATAAAATCTGTTTACATAAAATAATGTTCAGCTCCAATAAAACTTACTTTTTAAAGTGCAGTAAATATCTAAACCATATTTCAAAATGATAAATAATAAAAATCAACATGAATCCAGTGACATTTAAAATATCACACTATTCCCCAGAAAAGAGTTCAATGCAAAATAGATGTTGCCTGATATTTCAGTTTGTGTCTTCCATTCTCGGGCAAATATTTTCTTTTAAAATTAATGCTTTAACTGTTCCTTATAAAGACATCTTATTCACTGTTACTGCATATTTACTTAAAGTATCATTTATGCTATTCATAAGTAATTATTTCTAAAATTTTATAATAAAAATTATTACACTCACTCATACAAAAAATACATGAATTTTTAAAATGTCATAATTTCTTACACTGTTTTTAAGTAGTTTGCTAAAATTAGTGTTTTGAGGATTAAAAAAAACACACAAAAAAAAACTACTTCTATTTCCTAAGTTGATAATATCTATGTAGCTCATTACTATACGAGATATTAAAACCTTAAGGGTTATTATTACACATCACTTTGAGAAATTCTATAGGATGGATCAACTGTACCACACTTGTATTTGTAAATTATTTTGCCCAGCTGCTTAATCAGGAGTAATGCACTCAAAGAAATTGGATTCTAAATTTATGCCTGTATCTAACTGATGTTTTTTTCCAACCTGTATAAAAATTGATCTTCTAAGGCATATGTAAAAGGAATACAATGTTTAACTTTGGCAGGACTGCTAAAATACTGACAACTAACCAATGCCCTATAAATATTCTTATCTTAGCAATGGCTCACAAGGTTAACTTCTAGAGAATTTTGCCTGATACAATGAAATAATTCATGACCATCAGACCATATAATTTTTGCCACTTTCGCAACAAAATATGTAAATTAAAATAATGTCTGTTTATAGCACTTGCAAATGTCTATATGTTAAGATTGCTACAGCCTATAAGGTTCTTAGCATTTAGAAAACACAACTGGTCACACACTGTTCTTTTTAGACATATTCATATAAAAAATGGAAACATGGGGCGCCTGGGTGGCGCAGTCGGTTAAGCGTCCGACTTCAGCCAGGTCACAATCTCGCGGTCCGTGAGTTCGAGCCCCGCGTCAGGCTCTGGGCTGATGGCTCAGAGCCTGGAGCCTGTTTCCTATTCTGTGTCTCCCTCTCTCTCTGCCCCTCGCCCGTTCATGCTCTGTCTCTCTCTGTCCCAAAAATGAATAAACGTTGAAAAAAAAAAATGGAAACAGCATTTGTAGCATCAATAAGTTTGATTAGCAAATGTCACCCATGTAGGTATCAACAGCCCAAATACAAATAAATCAACAGCCCAAGTGTGTCTTTGATTATAATCACTATTTTAACTGAATAATCTGTAAATTATATCATGAGTTGTAATCCCCCATCCACTACCAGAACATGCCCTGTAACATATGGTGATTCTAAAAGAAACACAACCGCATGTGCCACATCAATAGGTTCTCCAAACCTCCCAAGAGGGATAATTTTCTTTAAATGTTCTTCTTTCAGGTCTTTCGTCATATCTGTATGAACAAATCCTAAAAGAAAAATGTTTATTTAGTTGACACTTAGAGACACTAAGACATCTGCGCAATTCTAAATAAAAATCAATTTGCATCAGAAAGTTTGAGATTATCAATAAACTTGTTTAGGAAATACAGAGTTCCGCTAGCAATCAAGCATGTTCATTAAGTTTAACTGAATAACACCAAAATATTTGACTCCCAATTATTTCGCCCAATTCATAGCACAAAACAAGTGGGTAGATACAACATGAATAAAAATTTCATTCCTTGGGGAACCTGTAGTTTATGGAAGAAACACTCACTTGTACCCCTAAATATAATAAAAGGACATCTGATGAATATCCTTAGATATAAAGTATCACAAAAAAGTAATTTTTACTTGATTGAGGGTAGAGGGGTAGTAGGGTTAGAGGGAAGAAAGGTGGTGACATCAACTGATTCGACAGTTCTGACAAAAATTAGTTTCATTTGCTATAGCTAAGATAGTTGATCAGAAAGACCAATATTTCCAATATTCATAAGAAAAAAATCTTATGGGATGATCCAATTCTTTTTTTTATAAAGTTTATTTACTTAGGGGCGCCTGGGTGGCGCAGTCGGTTAACCGTCCGACTTCAGCCAGGTCACGATCTCGCGGTCCGTGAGTTCAAGCCCCGCGTCAGGCTCTGGGCTGATGGCTCGGAGCCTGGAGCCTGTTTCCGATTCTGTGTCTCCCTCTCTCTCATGTCTCCGTTCATGCTCTGTCTCTCTCTGTCCCAAAAATAAATTAAAAAAACGTTGAAAAAAAAGTTTATTTATTTATAATGAGAGAGAGAGAGAGAGAAGGGCGGGGGGGGAGAACAAGCAGGGGAGGGACAGAGAGAGGGAGAGGGAGAGAATCTCAAGCACGCTCTCAGCTATCAGGGCAGAGCCCAATGTGGAGCTTGAGCTCATGAACCATGAGATCATGACCTGGGCCAAAATCAAGAGTCACAGGCTTAACTGACTGAGCCACCCAGGCATCCTTGAAATGATCCAATTCTGATGCAAGCATAATACATTGAAAATTCAAAATTTAACATGGCATTGGTATATGAAATAAAGCTCAAAAAGAACATGTTCTAACGTGTAGAGGTTTATAGTATAAAGTACTATATATTACGCAACCAATTCTAAATGGTTCATACTGTAGATATATGCAAGAATTCTAAATTTATTAAGAAAATCTTGTGAGATTAGTCTGAGACAAATACATATTACCAATAAAGTGCTCAATTACATAATCACTATACTGTATAGTATTCAATCATTTAAACTTTTAAAAAGAAAGCAAATAATTAACCCTCAGGAAATTAACAATAGAAAAGATCTTTAAAATGTTAAGGTCATGAAAAATATATGGACTAAAAGTCAGACATGTGAAGTGAAACTTTAACATGCAATCTCAAGAATACAGTTTTCAAAGTGGCTTATGTTAAAATTAAATTTGTCACTCAAATTGTAAATCAACCTAAATACAGTGACATTTTAAACTATAAGGATAAATGTGAACTAAACACTATACTGAAAATTAACATTCACTGGTTTATTATATAATACTATGTTATTATTTAATTGTTCTTTGCCTTAGATTTCACTCATAAATATCCAAACAGTTTCTGAAAAGTCTTATGAGAAATAATCATAGATTCTTCTATCACAAGGCCTATGACAGTGAGAACTTTATTAGGGGAAAACCAGAAACAAATTGAATGTCTTTCAAAAAGGAACTGTTTAAAGAAATCATGGTATATCCACATGATAGAACAATATGTATCTATGAAAAATGATGCTATAGAAGAACATTTACAAGTGGAAAATAATATTTGCATATTAAAAAGGTGGTTACAAATGCATTATCCCATTATTAAAAAGAAAACAAAAATATATATACTAACAAAGTCCCACCAAAATATTAACAGTGGTTATCACTAATTACTAGCATTACAAGTAATGATTTTTACTTTCTTCTCTGTACTTGTCTGTACTTTCTAAATCATCTACAACAGATATATATTATTTTGGTATTCAAATAAAAAGGTACTGAAAAAGATGCACAGTACTAACTTCAGATGATCTGTAATGAGGGCCTGGAATAACAAAATAATTTTACATTGTGAGATTTCACTGTGAAATAAGACAGTGAGACTTCACTGTTTCATTGTGAGATTACACTGTAAAATATGACCTCTTCTGCTACTACATTTATTTAAAAAGTCAGCAACATTTCCTTCAATCCCTTTCATCTTTAAGAACAATGAGATGGCCAGAGGAAAAAAGAATAAAGAGAAGCAGCTGACACAGATAACACTGGATAACCAGCCTCTGCAGAATTTCAAGTGAACTGTAAATGAAACTTCATCTACAGTGAAGAGTCAGAATGATCAACAGGCAATCCAAATTACCTTAAAAAGCACTATCACGGGACTGCTTGATATCCAAAGTTTTAGGTCTTTGGACACACTTATTTTCAAAGATACCTCAGAGTGTATTAGGAAAAAAAAAAAACCTATCTCACATGTTTAAGAAGTTGAATGCATTAGGGGCATCTGGGTGGCTCAGTCGATTAAGCACCTGACTCTTGATTTCAGCCCAAGTCATGATCTCATGGTTCGTATTTTGAGTCCCGCCGCTACCCCGTCAGGTTCTGTGCTGACAGTGTGGAGCCTGCTTGGGATTCTCTCTCTCTCTCCCTCTCTCTCTACCCCCTGCCCCCACTCACGCTCATTCTGTCAAAAAAAAAAAAGAAAAAGAAAAAAGAAAGCTGAAGGAATTAAAATTATGAACCTAACATTTAAAAGACATTATTTTCTCAAAGAGTTCATGATACACTTATTTTAATCTAAGGTTGTTTTAATTCTGGCAAAACTGGCATGTTTCTCCACTAACTCTCAAAGCCCTCAACAGAAAATCAATAATGTGTTTTAATCTTAAAAAAAAAAAGAAAGGAAAGAGAAAAAACTCAAAAAAACTACAGTAAAAATGGTTTGCAAGAAAGACCTTGTGACAATCAGTTAGCAAATCCCAGGCTCAACTTCTAACTGGTCCTAGTAACTTTTTCTCAAAAGCAGCATTTTGTGGTAAAAAAAGACCCTTGGATTAGGACACATTAAACTAGATTCTGGTTCCCCGCTCTGCTAATAGTATCAAAGCTATGACCCAAGCAAAGTCATGTACTATCTAAAACTGTATGACTATTTCTGTATCATATAATAAGTAGATTGAAAATGATGGACCTCTGAGATTTCCTTTAGCTCTACAAAACTATGATTCAAAGACGAAAAGTATGCCTCATTAAATGACTACTTAACTTGAAGATTAGGAAAGTGGGCTCCCCTACAAGGACCCTCAAGTAGAATAGCTCCAATTCAGGAAGCGCTGATGCTAATCTAGGTTTTTATTCATTCTGTGTGGAAAGAAACTCATTTGCCCAGCTTCCGGCTGGATATCAGTCCTTATGGGTCTGTCCTTTTGGAGACAAAGAATAAGGCCACACAATCTGTGAGAGGCCATTTGAAGGCATTCCGCCTTGGAAAAAAAACGACAGATCTAGAACAGAGCATGAGGTACTGAAAAGCAAATCTTAGATTTAAATAGTGAGACAAGGTTTTTTGGGTTTTGTTTTGTTTTGTTGAGAGAGAGGGGGGGGGAGGGAGGGAGAGGGAGAGAGTGAGAGACACGAGCGCACGCACAGGGCAGGGGCAAAGGGAGAGGGAGTAAAAGAATCTTAAGCAGGCTACGTGCCCATGAGTGAGATCATAACCTGAGGCAAAATCAAAAGTTGGACACTTAACCAGCTGAACTACCCAGGCACCCCAAAACAGTGAGACAATTCCAGTGAGGTGAAAAGAAGTCTTATGCCACAGATATGGGCCATGAGGGCAGACTATAGTCTTCCAAAAAACAACCAGGTAAGTGAGATACATGGAACAGAAAAAAGTATCTTAAAGCTTTTGATAAGATCTTGTTCAACTTTACAACCTGGATTCAGCCCTGCTACAATCTGTGCCCATGTTAGGTCGAATTTGAGGAGAGAGATGTGTGTTCCCTGAATCCAGCAATGATTGCAAGAAGTCCAGAACTGAGATCATGATGTTCAAACACCCACCTTACATGAAGATTTTCCCTCTACTGCTCAAGTTTGGATAAGGGTGTTATTTCATGAAGGGAAGTTTGCACAGATTCTCTCCAGGTCTTTGTTTTGTTTTGTTTACATATGAAATTTATTGTCAAATTGGTTTCCATACAACACCCAGTGCTCATCCCAAAAGGTGCCCTCCTCAATACCCATCACCCACCCTCCCTTCCCTCCCACCCCCCGTCAACCCTCAGTTTGTTCTCAGTTTTAAGAGTCTCTGTCTTTGAACGAATAGTTATAATGACAATCCTCATGGGATCCCTGAGGATCCCATAGCCATCCCTGAACTCTACACCGAAAGCCTAAAATAAAGTAGGCATGAGAGGCCAAGTTGAAAGGAAGGGATGAATTCACCAATACTGGCTTTTCCTCTTTGAATATGATGTTTGATATTGAGACCAAGAACAGGTCCAAGGAACAAGAACCTTTCTCTCGTCACTATCAACAGCTTTTTTAATTAATAGACTTATTTTTAGAGCAGCTTTAGGTTTACAGAAAAATTGAGCACATTACCCCATTTTTCCCCAATTATTACCATCTTGCCTTAGGGTAGTACATTTGATGATCCAATATTGATACATTATTAAGTAAAGTTTGTAGCTTACATTAGCGTTCACTATATGGCTGGTATAATAATTGTATCCACCATACAATATAATAATTGTATCCACCATACAATAGCATAAAATAATTTTATTGCCCTAAAAATCTGCCTTCAGCTTTTAAGAATTCATGTATATCATCCCCAAATTTATCAGAAATCAAATAAAAAACATGTAGCTAGTCTCTAATGATAAGCTACTCCAGGCTCTACCAAATTTCAATGTCATTTTATGCTATAGCTCATGAACCGTGT